AAAATGAGTGGACAAAGTGGGAGTCTGCTGGTCCAGACCAACTAAGACTATTTTTGATAGTTCCTTTAAAGGAAGTCTGTCTTTTGAACGTGGCACATAATATGGCCAACCTCGAGCTGCTATCTGGGTGAAAGCTATATAATTGTGGACAGCAAGAGGAATAGTTTTTTATGAAAACAAATTAGAAGAAGAAAGGAAATTTTTTTTGGGATTTCTGATGGAAACGACCGGGGAAGAAGATTCTCTTGTTCGACGTAACTGAAGTAGAATCGACCCATTCTTACCAATGTTTTTTATTTCTTCCCTCCCTATTTTCACCTGTTTATACTTACCAGGCGAAACAAGTTCAGGAAAGAGCACTTTGTTAAATCTTATCCTTGGAGAGCAGCTTCTTCCTTACTCCGTTCTGAGTACCACATCCACCATCTGTGAACTAAGATATGGAGATACACCAAAGCTGGTGGCGCACTTTAAAAACAAAGAATTAGGGGATATCACAAAGACTGTCGTCTTAGACGAGCCATCTGAAGCCTCCGAGCAGAGTTACCTTCAACAGATTTCCGAATTCGTCCACCTAAAGACTAACAGAGAAAAGGGCTCAGATTACGAAAAGATTGAGTTGTTTTGGCCACACAATCTGTTGAAGGTTAGATATGAGCAAGCTCAGTAATTATTCGGGGTCTTAGAACTGACCTTTAGAAACATAATATTGATGTCAGCAAGCTTAAGAATGTTCGTGCATGAATATATTTTACGATATAAAACTGTCTTTTATATTCCTTTATGATTGAAATTGATATTAGGGATGTTAGAGAAATTTAAAGACTCCAAATTTCTAACTTTTCTCAAATCATTTACCATTCTGCATAGTGCTTGCACACGTTGTTATTTGGAATTCTACTTGGTTTTTGTTGCTGTTTTGTCACAAGAACTGATTGTTGACATCTCAATTGGTTGTTGTCATCTCAAATGAATAGTTGCACACATCTCTTTTGATGTATCCTTATTACGGTCACTAAAAAATGAGTAACAGCAGTATTGACTGAAAGTCACGTCCGACTAAATTCTGATGATTAATTCGGTTAAGGATGTCAAAATGTCACTTAATAGGAACAGATATAGAGGACATTAGATTGAGAGTTGAGAGTAATCCGGACTTAATCTCGCTCTGTGATTGGTCCAGAAAACTCATGCTAATTCATCAATCATGCACATTCAAAACCAAAGCCAACCGCAACTGACTCGCGCTTTCCCCTGCAAAGAGTTGTTCGCTTGTTTTTTCTTTGGGCTAATTCTCTAATTGGTTGTTGTGATTACTTTTGAGTTTGGTCTTATGACAACAAATCGAAACGCACTCTAGAGAGGGATACTCAAGGACAATATTTTCCTTCAATGACTGTGAATATATGAAAATCATGTATGTGATCTGCGGATTAAGAAATGAAAATGAAAGGGATTTTCGCAGTAATGAACACTACTTAAGCAGTGGTGAAAATATGGCCTCAAGAAAATTCAGGCCTGTACGGGATTTCAAGATTGAAGATCGAAGCAAAGATCGCTTTCATATTCAATATTTTGCTTGTTACATCTTTTAGGAAAATATCGTAATAGTCGACAGTCCAGGAATTGGCGAATCTACCATCATGGATGACATAGTTAAGGAGTACCTTCCAGAGGCTTTCGCATTTATTTACGTCATCAAAAGTGACAACGCCGGTGGAATACAGCGAGATAGGGTAAGCCGGACACTTTAAAATGCGAAATGCATTGACTTCTTATTGCAAAAATAATTAAAGGAAAAATGTGCTGCAAAACTCGTATCATTTTTTGAATCCTTTATTTTAAAGATGTGTGAGAGTAACTTAATTGTTCGAAAATTTTCGTCAAATGTGCCAGAAGAAGGAACTTAGCGAACATGAGTTGCTCCTGCATAGTGGTTACGCGAGGCATTAATAACCGTT